CAAGTATTCAATATTACTCCTCATGATCTCACACAGATCAGGTGAATTTTATCTCCCAAAAACTATAGAAAGCTTGATAACAGCGCTCTTCACTGAAGATACATTGCAGGGGCAATTCAATAGAAATATTAAATTGGTTAAATTGGTTCACTCGAAAGAATCGGTAAATTGAGTTTCTTGTAATAAAATACTGTAAAGTCACTTTTAAAAAAGAATTCGTATAAAAAAATCTTGATTAATTAAATGTTAATTTGCAATTATTCTGGTAAATCTGTATCAATTTTAAACTACAAATAACTATATATACTTTCGGAGATGTAAAATTAATATTTGCGATTAAAAATGTTTCGGATAAGTGATCATGAGGTCCGTACATGTAATATTATGTCATCTGGAATTGTGACATTCCGTTGGCTATTTATATATAATATTTTTTGAGGATTTATGTTATATGTATGTAGCATTCATATAGTCAAATAATAAGATGTTTCGCATATTTTATAAAAAACGCTAACTTTTAATTCAGCTGTTAGCTCGGATCTGACTTTATCATTTTATCACAAATGTTGCCGAAACAAAAGCAGAATTTTGAATAAATTATTCATTAAGGCATTTAATACTTTGGTATTTGGTATGATATAATTAGCGAAACGTGGATTTTCATTACAGGATAGTTCATGGTAGTTCCCTAGGAATTCAATTTAGTTCTACTAGCCAAGGACTACGATTTAACATGCATCAAAGAGATAGAAGGGTTTAATGAAACATGGGCCGTGATCACCAATAACACTTTCACGCGTACAAGACTTATATCCTGTGACCTTTCGCGAAGCCACAATCTCCGGAAATGAGCTAATAATTAAATATTTACTTCATTAACGTTACAAGATGGAATTTTCGTATTATTTGATTAAGCCAAATAATTTGCGAGAGATTTACAAAAATTATATTATAAGCTTTAATAATCTGCATAAATGAAGCTTATTTGATTTAAGATAATATATAATAAATTGTGTATATTTTGGTTATATATTTTATTATCAAAAAATGCGATTATATAAAGGTTACATTAAAAATTTCGTTGATTTTGTTAAAGAGGATGTGAATAACTGGTGATAAACGAGATTAAATTACTGTAGTTGCACAGCCAAATTTCCGCAAATATGCGTGTGTTTCTCATGCTACGCAAATTTGCGCACATTTCTCATTCGCAGAAGCAAGATTGTACAATATGAAACGCAGCAGGTGCTGCGTAGTGTTCCATATAAACATCTATTGCAAACATCTATTAGAATTCTTACAGTCTATCTTTATAAAATCGAGTTGTGAAGAATGGATTTTCTTATCTCTTAATGATTCTTGTAACAAACTTCATAGATCTTCTCTTGAATGTAAAAATTCTCTTTATCTCTTACAAGTTTATGTGCGAACTTCTTTAACAGTACAGTAAGTTATTGCCTAGTTCGACCAAATCACACAAACGTTTCAAATATTATAAAGTTTATCTGACATTTCAAAGTTTATTTGACATTTGAATCTATTATTACGGAGAGGTTCCTTTTAAAATTTATTTCGTTCAGTAATTTGATATTTTATATTTCAAAAATTCCGAATAAGAAAGCATCACGCAGCGCAGAAAAACTGTTTCAATTTTCATGAATAGTGAAGTTTATTTAAATTCAACATCCACGTTATAAAATGTGTAAAATGTAGACTACAGTGTCACACGGTCCTCTGGCCGCAGACGTATGTTGTAATTGTAGCTATCATATGCAGAGCTTGACGTCAAGCGCATCACCGAAATTGGGTTTGAAGCATCACTAATCTACCGCCGTAATAACGTTAATTACGTTATCGGGCGGTGACAAATATTTCTTGATGTACTAAAATCATTGTTTACGCTTGTATTCTATTTGTATTAATTTCAACATCAATCAACCTCCCGATTTCGAGTCTTGACAATTTTATCAAATTTTGTCGTATAAACTGTTTTTATTGAAATGTGTTCGGTTTCTTTGATATTTGTTATTATTTTTCTAATTCTGTTAATAACGCGCACGCTTTAAAATATAGTTTCTTTACGGCGATGTCAAATATCACATTTTGACGGTAGAAAAGCATGTTCAAATGCGGCATCGCTTACGCTTTCATGTTCAAAGGATATTACCAAATACCCACAAAAGCATACGATCACAGTTAATATCAACGACATCTGACTGAAATTTGCGAACCGTTTACGCGAAGCAGTATAATATTGCGAAGGTACTTTGAGTTCATTGGAATTGGTATAAATCTGGAAATAATGTAAGTTGACGCTAAATTAGAACATCATGTTAATACCTACGACATTGTTTAATCTACATTATGGATAAAAGTAGTTTGATAAGTATAGTAAAATAAATTATCGTAATTAAACAGAGTGTATATAAAATGTTATACCATTTAGTTTATATGAGGAGCAGACTTTCGAAATGCGTTTTGTTAAAAATTTATAATTTTCGAAAAAAGAATGAAAGAGAAAGAAACATGGAAAATATGCAATTTACAGAAAAAATAATAAATAACTTGCCAATCAGTAAAATGTTAAACAAATGCACTGTGCCATCTCTAACTCGAAAAATAAAATATTGGACAAAATACATTTTGGAAATCTGCTCTTCATATATTATAAGACACATAATTATTTTTAATTAAATTAATATGAAACTGATATATATAAAGTTTATTAACGCTTTTAAAATTCTGAAAATTGAATAATTAAATGGTATTATATTTTGTATATCATTCTGTGTATATTATAATTTTTTGTGTTTTTTCCATTGCAGAATAATATAAAGATACGCTGGAATATTATATAAAATTTAAATTCTTTTGTAAAATACGCAATATATTGAATTTAAATTTTTCTATAAAAGACGCAAGTATACATTATTCTCAAATCTATATATATTGACACCTAGGTTGAAAGATACGAATTTTATAGAATGCAATAAAAAATTTATTGCCATTGCAAAGCCTACATAAACTCTGATAGCGATTGATACCGCACAAAGTTCCAACGGTAGAACGGTAGACGTCAAACGCTACGTGTTTTCAGCACTTCGCGGACCGTGCAGCGATATTCCCTTCATTACCATTTTCGCTCCGCGTATTTCCCGTAAACTACGGTGTAATATATCCACGATCACATAAACGGCATGTCGCGGCCGCCGCGAGATTTAATTCATCCCTGACATAGGAGCGATCATTTAATTATAGCGCAGCTGGCACGTATTTCGCATATTATGCATCAGATTAATTCCAGCGTATATCGTATCTCGTCGAATTTTCATAAATCCACGTGGGCACGAATCATAGTATTGATGATATCGTACTGCCGGCGTTATGTTCACCCTGAAAAATTAGTGTCAAAACGTGACGACCGCCTTGCACGAGCCATGTGCACGTGACTTGGATTCACGACAATCGATTAAAATGAGATTTAATAGGATTATATAAATGCTCGGTTACCTTGAGCGCTGTGGAAATAATGGGGGATTGAAATGAAGTGGAATGCCGGAAACATCGAGCAGATCGTGCCGGTATTTTATTTTTCATAATAAATTCTATGAGCTTTGTTATTAGGTTGCTTTTATAAACTTCGCCTGTGATTTACTCTATTAATTTGGTAATTAATTTTTCCGTAGTACAAACATGTTTTTTTTATGATTTTCCACATTAATTGATAATCATATAATTAAAATTCGTAACAATAAAATTTACTGAAAAAATTAAATAAAGAGCATGCATTTCACAATATATTGTATCATTACATAACAACTTATGAATACGTATACATATAAGTTTATGCTAGTATTATATGTATATATATATATATATATATATACGATCTTTATATTTGTATTAATCAGCAAAGGCAGAGATAAAATAATTGTTAAGCTATTGTTTTTTTTCAAACGAGAGAAGTATCCGGTAAAATAAACCTAAATAACGTCACAACTGTCACTCTGTTTGTCAAAATACGTAGCAGTTGAAGGATAATACAAAAACGATATCGTTCTGTCAGCGAGAGGGTAAATCACTTGGAAATCTATCGGCGTCAAATAAAATATGAAAGCATATCGGACTCTCCCTGCATTTTATTGTCTTTTTTTCTAGGCAGTTCAGTTCGTGAAATTCAACTAAACATCTATTTGCGCGATATTACATATTCTCTGGAGTACATTCATGTGTGATATTAGACTTCGTCGTTTTAAAAGCATTATATATGCGCAGAGAATTTAATAAAATTGCATAATGAGGATCGACAAATTTAACAATACCAGAGACGAATGTTCTAGTTTATCAGATATTTCAATTTCCGCATGCTTCTTGCATTACTTTTATTATTGGAGTTTATTGGAATGTAATTATACAGCATGTAACGTCGATAATATTTTATGTATCAATATCGTATATGGTGTAGGATTATATAAATAAATGTACGTAGAGAAAAAGCACAGTGGAATTATGTAGACAATTATACAAAAGTTTTATTTCTCTGAATTTTTTAGAGTGGAATCTCTTACTCTAAAAAAATGAAGATTATGTTACTTTTTAACAGTGAGATTTTCCTCAAAAGAATTTAAATGTGTTAATATCACAATTAATAAACTAAATATTTTAGAGTTTTAGTGTAATTAAAAATAGTTTATTTAATATAACTATATACATATAATCATATTAATTATATAAGTATATAATATTATATATATACCTATATAATTTAATATAATTATATATATAAATGCTACATTCTACATAATATATTAATATAAAATTTGTACAGCTGTCACCAACAATATATATGTAGTTACTATTTTTTCTGATGAGTGCAATGTGTGTATATCAGATAATAAAGGATTATTGAAGAATACGAATACAAGTGCTAGATTCTTTTGTGCAAAAAGTAGTATGCGAAGAGGACCTATTGATCCGTAACTGATCACGTTTCGCTCCAGGTGACATGCCAAGACGAAGAAGGCAGTCAATGCATACCAAAGAAGATCTTTCTGGCGTTGCTGCGTTTACCGGAAGTCAGTTCGAATCTGGCGGCGTATTCGAGAACAGTGAGAATAATTCAGGAGGCGAAAAACCATAACGACATGGCTCATCTGAAGGCTCTCAGTTCCGAGGATAATGATGACGCTGAGATCTGCATACCTAGTGATGTCTACTTGGAGCTCCTCAGGGATCCTGCATTTCGTGGACATCTCAACATCATGACGCGCACTCACAAGTTACCTGAATTTCCGGCACGTCTTCTGGATGACAGCGAGATGATTGATTCGCGGGACTTGATTCCTGAATCGGAAAAACGTAGTCTCGCTACCTTGGCCAAAAACGACGATCTACCAGTCATTGTAGATCATCAGGAGCGCGAGGAAAATGGCGATGACGACGAGAAAAGGAGCGTCAGTATACCTAGGTATGTTTTATTTAAGATTTTTCCGATTTCTAAATTCTCAATAATTCTAAACAGGAAATGTTTAAAATTTCTACGCAAAGAAAATGACGCAATAAAAATATTGCATTTTAATGATCTTTTGACTCTTGTTGTGAATAAATACTATTTAATAACTTTAAAATAATTTTATATTAACTTTGTTATTAAAAAGATTACCGTGTCACATTTATTCAATCATCTGAATTAATTAATTTGTCGAATTAAGCGATAATGTAGATGAGCTGGTGCGCGCGTTAATGGACAACGAGTACGGTCGACGAACACCCAGGATCTATGATTACCAAATTGAACTGGACCCTGAAGTGATCGACTATCCGTTAGAGAAACGTAACATCGGCTCCTTGGCGCGAGACTTCGCATTACCTACTGGCAGACGTCACATCGGCTCGGTGCTTCGCGATTACAGTACGCTAAGCGGCAAGAGGAACATCGGTTCTTTGGCCAGGCAGAGCATGCTGCCTATAAGCGGCAAAAGAAACGTCGCTTCTCTGGCGAGAGATTTCATGCTGCCTCAGACTGGTAAGAGAAACGTCGCTGCGTTAGCCAGGGATTCCTCTCTGCCCTACGGTAAGCGATATCTCGGTTCGTTGGTCCGAAACGGCGGTTATCCGGTCCGTGGATACGACGAGGGCAAGCGCAACATTGCCTCGTTGGCCAGAAACGCTGATTGGCCCAGTTTTATGAAACGAGGCGGCACTGCGGGTGCAGGCAGAATGATTGTCCGAGTGCTCAACCGTCACGGGAGATCCTTGAACGATCACGAGACACACAATGAGCCATTGGACCTGCAGCAGCTTATCAGACAAGACCACAACAACGAGAATGATGCCAAAGCGAACGTTGCCGACGTTCCTGCCTGGCCCACACCCTTCAGCATCTCCGAGGAACTGGAAGACAGCAGGGCGAAGAACAGATCAAACAGGAGGATGGACGCAGCGACTTCACAAACGAGGCACAAACGGCAGATTGACTTTTCTGATGAGTATCCGCTACCTGTTGTGCAGAACACCAACATGCTTGATTACGAGGACATGATCGAGGCACTCGCCGATCATTATCCGAACGCGGAGAAGAGGTTCATGGGTGAGTAAAATTGGAGCGCTCGATATTTTGGTTGGTATTCATCTGAGGTTTGATCTCCAGTGAGCGTAAAATGAATACCCACAGAATTCATTTTACATTTATAATATGCATGACACGCGACACTTCGGGCGTTATTGTAATTTATGACAATTCCTTGTTAATCTTAAACCTGATTTTATATTTATAACGCGAATGAAAGACTATGAAATGTCATAGCGCTACCGCGAATTTATCGCGCTTCCATTTTACGTGAGTAAAATTCAATATCGTATTTTCTTTCTTTTTGTTGATCAATATTTAAGCTCGCCGATTGGACCGTCAGCTAGAATAATCCGCATTAATCGTGGGATTACAATTGAATCGAATTTTTTTTCTTTTGCACCCACGCATTCATGGCGCATCATCGTTCATTCATCCACAAAATTCCACAATAGCGTAGGGAAAAAGCTACATCGAACAAATCGACAACGTTTCTTGTCAACCATAAACTCTGTCGAGAACAGGTTCCTCGCCGGAGATGCCGGCCGACTCGGGCTACACTGAAGTATTGCAACCAAGTAAGAGACATATCGGAGCCCTCGCACGCCTCGGCTGGCTCCCGTCGTTCCGTGCACCACGATTCTCTCGGTCACCGCGATATCTGGTCGAAAGGTCAGGCCATTAGGCAGCCGCTCTCTATCTCTCTATCTCTCTTTGTTTCGCCGTGTCCTCTTCTCCTACCTCGGTGTGATATGTCAACCGTTTCGCCAGTACCTGTACTCAAGTAGAGCTCTACCTACAGACTGAGAAAATATGTCATATCTATATGTGTGTGCCAGTACCAACAGATTTATCAACCACGTCACGTCACGTCACGTCAATGATTACCCACCAAATACCAACAACCACCTACCACCATCTACAAATCACCACGTACAAAATAAAACGTTCTCCAATTGTGTCTTCTTCTTCTACTACCACGATACCACCTCGGGACTCATCACGGTAGTTGGATGTACAATGTCTCGATGTAGTGTCTCGCTGTTAAAGACTACATATTAGATTATTAGAACGCTGGTAGTTGATCTATGTTAGAATCGGTGTTATAGTTTGCCACGTTGATTCAATGTTAGTAATTCTAGTTAATAATTTTTAGTGTTTCTTATCGAATGGTTTCCAACATTAATTAAGTTTTAGCCTTCTAAAAATATATTTAATTATTAAAAATACATATTATTAAAAAACGTTTAATTATTCAATATTCGAAAAATCCCGAACAATAAAGAACGTAAAAAAGGGAGATTTATTTAAAATTTCAGTCTCTCTTTATATTTATAGCCTTCGAATTATTATTGAACTCAATTGTTGGGAACCATGAGTGCCGTGATGTGGCATTTTTCTAGATTATGTTCGAAAGTGCAGTGTTATATCGGAATGATTTTTGTATTGTTTCATTTTTATTTTAATGACTCGTGCGACATCACTGTAATTTTTCAGCAAAAATGGTAACTCGTGTAATTGATAGACAGGATTACAAACTATTGCTGAAGTACTTGTGTATATTATATTGGTGTATATTACATTGGTGTTAGATGTTCAATATGTTGAACGTTCCTGCGCTACCGGAGTCTTTCTGGAATCACCGAGTTGGTTATATTGGGAAAAACGTCAATAATTATTTTACTAATATTTGTTTATGCTGTACATATATTGTTATTTATTCTTCTCTACACTAATCAAATTTTTTCTGTAAAGTAAAGCATCTTTAGAGAAAAAAATTTGAAATTTTTATAAATAATTAACAGCTGGTGCATGAATGAATTTCTGTTTTTTAACAAATTTTCTGCCGTCGTTTTCATCAAATAAGTATCCGTGCTGTTAACAGCGCGTGCTATCGATTAGTTACGTGTTTAGAATTGATTCAATTGTATGTGGTTGTCAAATGAGCGGCGTTTTGCGAGACATAACGAGGGTGCAAATGAATTTCAGGGAGGATCCCGCAGATGGGTCCTCGTCCAACTACACCCCCCACGCGTCGGCTAAGACTCGGTCGCTAAGACCGTTCCTTCCGAAAACCCGCTATCTGCAGTCCCTGCACCGCCTGCACGGAGATTGTCGACATGGCTTCAAGAGGTTCCTGTTACCGGACATCGATAACTTCCTGCGGACGTCGACCTCTAGCATCGTGTCCCATTCCATGTAAAAACCCTCGCCTTGCCTCTCTGCTCGTCCAAGGCAATACCGTACAAATTACGTTATATATCGGACTCACATGTTTTACTCTGCGAACCGTAGAGGAAACGAATGTAAATATTCGGATCTTGTGTCTGACGTTCTTCCTTACTGGCCATTGATCATCCCTTGTCAACGGTAGATATCTACGAATATATGTCTCTACCATTAATGATTTCTCAAATAATAATCTATCAGCGAATAATAAAAATAAATAATATCAAAAAGTTGCTAAAAAAAAAAGATTTAAAAAAAAGTTTATCAAAATTAGAAACGGTAAGGGAAGTGAGGAAGTCCGTCACGTAATTTAATCAGCGACTAATCAACAAACTCATTGAGAAGAATAGATCTTATCGCAAGATCCGTCAATGGACAATAAGCTTACTGCTTGCCGACAATAATAATTTCACGTAATCCTAATAATTGACGCCTTAAATGTGCCGTCTGTTTCGAACAGATTTTAAATTGTTATGCAAAAAAAGCAAATTTTTCTCGCTCAAAAATAAAGTATAGATTTTTCTCCGCAGTTACAAGTATCTGGATGTTATGTAAAGGACTTTGTCATCGATAGTCTCTAAATTTACGAATTTCTGTAAGCACGTACGTTTTCTCTTAATATTTGTATCTCGATGCTTCTTCTAATCAATGTATAGCAGATGTATCTGCCAATTTTTGTAATTCGTGTATTTTCCGAAGCAAGGCGAGAAATATCCTTGATCGACGGAATAACAATAATATTTATATAACAACGATCGATCAGCTCACGATTTACGATTTGGCATTGGTCTCTGATCAATATTATTAATAAAATACTTTTAATCGATATTATTAATAAAATACTATGTTCATCGAGCAATACCTCGCGATTCTTTCTTTTCTCATTGCATTGTTTGCGACGATACGAACAAACGAAGAGGGAACGAGAGACCAATTTAGCTGTTATTTTAACGATAAATCATCACGAGGTCGAAATATTTTATTCCTTGGCCACAATTTCCCATTTAAACGAGTGCAGTCGCGGGAGAGGCTATATGTTACTTTGATGATTATTATTTAGCTCGGACTTCATCGATAAATCATGCGAGATCGAAATATTTTACACGGCGGCCGTGGCAAAATGTAAGATCGTAAAAAAAGAATATAAAAAATTCGCGTGTGTCATTTCGATTATATTGCTTGATGAAAACGTAAATTGTCATCGAAGTATTAAAAAAAATGGTAGTTATACTCTAAATTTCTTGCAGTGGAATTATCAAATCACTGTCTTAGAGTGAAATTTCATTGCAAGAAATTTAGAGTGTACTCGCAAAAAGAGTAACTTATCTGTAATTACAACATCGATGACCACTAGTTAATAGCAAAAGAGACTTTCCGTTATTCTTCAGATATTTCTCACCATGTTACGATCAGTATTTTTCCTCGTCGTGTGATTTTAGGTAGTTGTGATGTTAAGAGTCAGATGCAACGAATACATATTCATTATATTTGTTAATTGCTTAAAAACGTATTTGCTTAAAGCATGCCAAGTGTAACTGTTGCTTTATTGGAGGAATAAAGCAATTTCTAGTTCTTTTCATACAATTTTAAAAAGTGGAAAAGAATTTATGAAAAATATGAAGTTAATTACATGCTCTTTTATCTTTTATGAAATTAAATCATCAAACTTACAGTCTGTATACATCTGACCTAACAATTTCCATTTTTACAAATGGCACTATTATATGAAGATCTTTTTTATGATGAATTTAATTAATTAAGAACGTTGCACTCTCGCAGAAGCGTTCGAAGACTTTAAATTAGGAAAACAAGAAAAGTGGCAGGCATTTTTCATGTAACGAACTGAAATATATATAGTACCACTTTGCAGTGCCATCTTCGTTCCTCGTCTATGAATATTGTCTCGTAATTTTCGTTATTTTCTGAAGTCCTATAATTACCATGAGACTACCGATCGATCGCACGTACGCGTGCAAGATCGACGAAGCCAGGAAATAATCTCCGTGAACGTAGTAACATGTATGATATAAATGTCATATTAGTGCTCAGCATGGTGCTCAGAGAGCTTGCGAGCTCGATGGCGATAACGCAAATTCAGTTTCATCCTAATCTCCACATTGTATCTCATTTAAATATTGTTAGAAACGTCGTTGTGTAACATATATGTGGTATTACACGTATACAATCGAAATACGCTCGATGTCGCGGCATCATCGGTCTATCATTGCTGTGGATGACATATAAGTCTCTGTCGAGTTCTCTTTAACTTTACGACTTAAAGTACTATGTGTTTGTCTAGACAATAATGGATAACCGAAGTGACAATAAAACGATAATAATATTGAAGTAATAAACTAAAATTTCATTCTATAAATGAAAACTTTTCCCTTGTTCTCAAGCTTTATTGCTAAATTATATCGTTAAATGCTCTCTAAAATAAAGAATGTATAATTTGTGTCTAAGTAAGGAAAAAGAGAGAAAATGTCAATATGTAGCAAATAAGAGTTATTTTATTGTGAACTTTATGATTTGATGAATTATAAGTATTCCATTTTTTGCATATGATCTTATTTTGAAATGACAACTCTTAATATAATAAAATAAATAATTGCAATAATATTATTTGTAAAGTGTTATAGTATTATTTTAATGGGAAACACTATTGATTTCATTTTCTACTGGTATTAATACAACAAATTATGTAATAAATTGATATCAGACTTTATTTTTTTATTATATCTTAAAACTTCGGGAAAGGGAATAATATACTATATAGGACTACATATAGATAGATAAAAAATTTATATATCTGTATGTATAGAATATAAAATAATCTATATGTAAAAATTGTAATAATTTATAGTAATTTATTTATACATCTGTTTTTACATTTACTTTTTACATTTATACACAGAATATAATAATTATATACTAGTATATACAGAATGTAATAATTATACTATTATAAACAGAATATATTATAATTATATACTAATATATAATTATATAATTATAATTACATAAAATAGTATTAATAATATATTATTAATATATATTAACATGTTAATTATATATTAATATATTATAATATATTATTAATATATTAATTTATATGTGGCAATCCTAGATAGAATATAGCGCAGCTATTTTTATGCCGAAGATTCTGGGTTTAAAACATAAAAATTTGATTTGATTGCTATTTTCCGGAAGCTGCCGTTTAAAACTGTGACTCCTATTGTAGTATGTATATATTAGTAGACATACGCATTGATCCCTTAAATTAGAGGTTAAACATTAGGCTAACAACCTAATTCCGGAAAAATCACTATTCCGAAACCTCATCTTCAAAAGAGAGTCCAATTTGGACTGTAGTATTACTATATGGATGTTTCATAAATAACGTCCATTAATTATATAATGCTATTTCTGATAAAAAAAACTGAATCGAAAAGTCTTCTATCATTTTACAGTTTTTGCAATATTTTTTTGTTACCCGATGAGTAAAATTGACGCATAAGATAACTTTAAGATACCTTTTAAGAGTTCATTTAGAAATATTTTTTAAATATTTCATAAAAAACATTGAAAGTCTTAAAATTGTCGTATGCATCTCGATTTTATCCATTTATTCGGCAATTTTTAGAAATTAATATCCCGTTAACTATTAGGAAAATTACAAAATGGTAGAGAACTTTTTGATTCAATTTTTCATCAGAAATAGCACTATATGATTAGTGGGCGTTATTTAAGAAACACCTTATATATATATACGATATACACACATACATTATTTATATATGTACATATATAATCTCTCGTATAATAGAGATTAACTGATTGGTTAAAATATTCCACTCATACTACGGTGATAATTAAGCTGATTGTGAGTGTGCTGAGCGTAATCATAGCCTTGGTCGTACCACTCTGACGTTGGTCCTGCCGTATTCGAGGTACTCGAAGACTGAGTAGTCTGCAAACTCCCATGCTGATGACTGCCGTAATCGCTGCTCTGAAAATGATTGAACTGTCCCCAGCCAAGCTGTGTTCTGGACCAATCAGTGTTACCTAAAAGTCAAAGACAAAGTAGACTTTAATATACGTTAACACTTTGACAGAATTTCAGACGTGAGTAAGATTTCAATTCAAAAAAGAAATTTATGCATTATACCTTGACACTTTAATGTAATTTTAAATTCGAAAGCAGTTCCGTATTTATTAATACATCAGAGATTATGGTACATTACGAGGATTTAAAAGAAAAATTCGAAACATAAAGGTATTTTAGAGTGTTCGTTTAATATTTGATAAACAATAAAGCTGAAATGATTCCAAGAACGTTGTGAACATTAAATAGAACGCAGACCTAGTATGCTGCACAGTTTCTCGACTCTTCTTCCAAGAAAACTCAGTGACTCGCGAGATCTTATGAAGTACTCACCGGCGTTGTGCGAAAGCGACGGCGTACCGTGCGCGGCGGGTGGTTGCATTGCTGATACCTGCGCGAGTTGCACGGAGGCTGCGTGTGCTGGAAGCGAACCGATATGACCGGAAATGGTGACTGCGTGCCCCTGAAGGGCGCTGCCCATCGTAGTGGGTACCTGAGTCATCGTGCTCGCCATTGGGGCGGCAGTGGTGCTGCCGGAGACTTGGTGAACGCTACTAGACGTCTGCTGCAGCGTCGGGCTGTGATGCAACGTAGGGGGTACTTGCGATATTCCGCTCGGTACCTGCTGTATCTGTACGAGCTCGTGGTTAGCTGCATATTGGCAAGTCGTCAACTGCAGGTTCGTCACAGGGTGCTGTATGTTACCGTTGTGTTTGCGGAGTCGCGCCCTGCGATTACTGAACCACACCTGAAACGGTGCGCATGACACTTGGCGGTTTCATCTTTTCGATGAAATCGATTTGCAGGTAATCGTGATAAAGGCATTAACAGCACGAGCAATATCCTGGCTTTTATTGCTTCCTCGAATTTCTACTTCTGTTCTTTGCTTCTTTATATTTGAATTGTAACCGTTACAATTGTTATCGTTGAATTGTAATGCGTTACACAAATATCTTACAGAATCTTTTTGTTAGTAAAATAATTTGATCGAAAATAATTTGATCTTAATTTAAGGCATACTTTTAAATCGTTTCTAACAATGATTGATAAAAAGAAAAAAACGATTGAGACCGAATAATCAGAAATTCTGTTCGAATTGTCATGAATGATGTGATACATTTTACGTTAACGTCTGCTACCAACGTCACGCGACACTCACCTGAATCCTCGCCTCCGTCAGTCCAGTTCTCTGTGCTAATTCCTCTCTGGAGTAAACATCTGGATATTGAGCTCGTTGGAACGCAGCTTCCAGCTGTTCGAGCTGCTCACCGGTAAACGTCGTTCTGCTTCTGCGTTGCTTTCGCTTCAATTGAATACCCGGCTCGCTTTCCGTGTCAGAGTCGTCACCGCAGCGACCTGGGCCGTAAAAGTGACGATCAAATTGTCATATTCAAGAAATTCAGAGAAAAGTATTTAAGACATTCTAGAAATTCAGATTGACATATTATTCCGAATGACTTATATCGAGAAATCTCTTTTATTAATTATCGAAACTCCGAGATTATGCTATTACAATTTCTTGAATGCAATTAATCTTGTCTAAATTCTACCGTTATTAATAAACGTTATTATAACGTGTTATCGTTTACGAATCACATTCAAAATATATAAAGCCTATATGGTACACGATGCATATTTTCTGCAGCTGAATTTCTTGCGTTTTAGTAAATTATTAGAATTATACTACACAGAGAGAACGAAGAATTTCTAATAATTTACTAAAACGCAAACAATCCAGTAGAAAAAAAATGCATCATATGTTCCTACAGATGCGTATCCATTATTAAAGAAAATTAGTGTTTCTATCGCCTGTTGAGCAGCATTTGTGTTTCTATTGCCTGTTTCCATAAGTTTCCAAAAGTTCTCTAATAATAGTTTTATTCAATAGAGACAATATCTACCCGTTGCTATTTGCTTGTTTCCAGTAACATTAGACAGCAAACAGTTTTCGTGGATATACGTACATTTACGCATCGTATTACTGCATGTTCCACACATGCATGTGTCTGTTTTAAATGCGAGTTATTGTTATTATACAAAGGTTTTTAGTATCAAATCGATATTTCATTGTTCTTAAAATAAAACAAAATCCTAGTTTTCTTATATTACCAACATTTTCATTCGAAAAATACGAATTGCCGAACACATGCAAACGCCTTTTACGAATGATTCACAAATTACGAGCGTATACCAGGAAAACTTTCGCAACGTCGAAACGATGACGATCTTTTAAAATTCACAGTGATTATTAATTGGTGTTAAAACGGCCGTCACTACTAATCGATAAATCGTCGAGAAAGACGCTCTGTCACTCAACCGGCCGTTGCATCGTCGATGAACTCGCCTCTTTCTCTGAATGGGATATTGATGAGACGATGATCATCATTTGTATAATATGCGTATCCGACGACGGCTATTCCGCACAGTCATCGTATTTCCTACGGCTTAATTGTTTCCTATGATTGAATTCCATACATTTCACCTAATATTTTAGGAAAAAATTCCAATACATCGTCATTCTATTTTTTTATTTTTACCGCTTAATTGTTTCCTATACCTAATTAAATTCCACACGTTTCACCTAATATTTGAAAAAAGTCCTAGTATGTCATATTTTTTTCTCATAATTCATCGTATACCGAATAATTTTATTGATAAAAATATTTTTATTTTTATTTTAAGATTATTAATAAAAATTTATAGAAATGTATTTTATTTCATACATATTTGATATTTTAGCTAATTAAGTTGAATATTAAGATTGGAATGAATCGAAAAGTCTAATTTCGTTAATTTTATGTAAATATAACAAGAATTCTGACGTTCCGGTTTAAAGCTTTTCCAATCTATCTGCTTGCATGAAGTAACATTATGCGTTCTGCATACGTTCGCATGTACACTACATATACCGTAGTCATTAAAGCATCCATAAAGTGGTCGTAAAAAGCAAGCAATGGTTACCACCATGTTCACCGCCATCTTGTCTCGTTTTCATAGTTTTGATATGTTTTATGATCAACCACTTTTTTCAGCGGACTCGGTTGCTCCTTGAAATACTGATGATATAATAATCTCCTGTTTAAAAAAAAAAACTTTTTGCAATTGTGCATCCTATCAATAAATTCTTCCTTCTTTTTTCCACGAGAGTTTTTCTAGACTGAGATAATAGAAGCAGAAATTTTTAAGTATATATTTTTTTAGTATACCTACACGGAAAAAATGTTTGCTGAAGAATCTGAAAATTTAGCTATAAGAATTAATCCATCTGAAAATAATTTTTTGTTAGACCACCAAAATAATTAATTTAGAACACTTAAGCTGGTTATAATATCAAAGTTTTTTACAGTATTGTTTATCATGCTTAAGTTTCTTGTACAATAATTTTGGTGGATTAATAACATTATTTTCAGGTCTGTCTAAATTTATAGATATTTTGGCAAAATTGTTCTTTCCAATCATACACATTTTATTAGCCTAAAGAAATTGATAATCTCTTCTTAAAAATTCTTATTTTTCTCAAAATTGGTGTACACTTTTCACCATTTAAATGCACGGCCACTTATCAAATCAATCTTCACTTCTTGAAACTTATTTCCCATAAAAGGTCCAGTCTTTTCGAGGACAATAACGTCTTCGTTTCAACGTTGCTCAACCATTCGATACTTAGAATTAAATCCTCCTCTCGAAGATTCTGAGAACCTTGTAATATCCTCGCATTCAGCACTTTGTTCCGCAAACATTTCTATGCGATACGCTTTTACCTTCGTGACCATTGATAACTATTTGGCTGAGAGAACCGGGAGCTCGTGCGTTCATTTTTCTAGTAAACGAGAGAAAAAGAAAACACGTATACATAAACACGTGAAACCGTCGATGGAAACTGACCGGGCTACCTTTGCCAAATATTTACTCCTAAGTCGATTCCCTCTCCTATTGATCTCCACAATCGTCCCATTGTCACTCAATCGAGCGTTCCCGCGAACTATTGTCCGCGATCGGACGTTGTGCTTTCCCTGCCGTATTCGTCTCCGTTCCATCTATTTCGAAATAACATTTAATCTCGTGCACAATTTTATCGCTCGATCGAACGCACGCGGGGGCATACGGTCGACGATGAGCAACGAGTGGCTTGTTGTGACGTCCAACAATCCACCCTGACAACAAACGAGGATTAGCTCGCTCTTTTATTTGCCGACCTACACCAGCGCGCTATCGCCGATTCCGCGATGCGGAATTAAACGGCGACGACAGTAATTCTGTTTCTTACGCCGACCGGCCGACCGTTCAGGCCGATTTTTCGTTCACGATCCACGTTTTACGAGTTCACGTTCAATTGAGATCGCCTGAGGTCTTTTCCTTCAAATATCCGGGATTCAAACAAGAAAGAGAAGATTGGTTCATAGTACGATATGTATGATTTTGACGTAAAGCTTAAGAGTTATGTAATAACTAGAATTCTAAAGATTTTGACACAATTACATATATTACTTAAAGGAATCATTAATCTGTATAATTATATAGAGCGGATACATCAATTTAACTACAAATTTAACGTCCTTTGGGATTTTTGATAACGAAACAAAACGTACTCTTGATGTACTTGATCTTATCATAGTTTTATGAAAATAAAACGATATTAAAATTAGATTAATATAATTATTCTCCTATATTAAATAAAGTTGACGAAAGCCTTAGGCCCAGTTTCACAATTCACGGTTAACTCTTAACCAAAGTTCAACTTATTTCTCTTTCCAATTCTAGAAAATTAAAGTATTTATTTTTACATTCCTCTGTTTCATGCAAATAAAAATAATGCAAATTTAATTTTATATTATACATGCTATTAAAAAATATAACTATGTATATAAAAATAAAATTTATTTGAAGTATTCCGAGCACCTCACTTATCTACTTAACGAGAGTTGTGTCGTCACTATAGATCGAGGGACGGTATATAGTCTTACGTGGCGTTTGTGGGAAGGTGATTCGCGCGAAGCAGAATCGACGGATGTCTTCTCGAAGGACCTGCTATTTTCCTCGCGTACAGTAGAACCTGCCTCGAATCTTGCCGGCGGACAATGGAGGATGCTCTCTTTCCTTGCGGTTTTCACCTCGCTCGACGAGGGAATGAAACTAACGGCGGCGGGATTGCGGCTTTCGAGTGTACAAGAAAACCCAGCGGCCGTCCTTTGAGCCTGAGTCCATTCTATTTATTGTGCAGCGTTACATTTGTCAAAACGTAACGTGGCCTCTACGCACATGAAGGCGGATGCGCCGGCATCTAGTCAAACTTAAATAACGCCTAGGGGCTTTCGGCAAAAGGTACGATATATTAGGCATCCATCGAGATTTCGCACGACAGCATTGATTAACAGAAATAACTTTCTCGTTGGAATTCGTCCGATGATGATTTTAATATGGTTTCTAAATTTGTTTCTCATCTCTGCAGTACATGTGGTCGATTTTATACAGAAGAATGCTGCGTTCAGCAGGAAGGAAGCTTTGCAAACGTTATAAGATTTTTAATATGTTTTTATTATTTTATATTATAGAGAATAAATTAATTATTTAAAAAAATCTCTTATTTCGTAATATCCATTATTGCTTGTTTTGTAATCGCTGCTCTTCTTAATGCTTTTAATTTAATAATTAGTTCTTACTTTCACTTCCTCACTGGATCTAAATGTATAAATCAATCATTACTTATTAAAGAATCTTATTACAATTGTTATTTTTCCTGCTGTATGTAGCCATTGCCATTCTAAATATCAGAGCGCTGATCGTAATTTTCAACACGAAACAGCCCGCTTTTTAAAACCGTATTTTAGTACAAACAGGCTTGACTTTCGGTGTCGATGAGATAAGTGGTGCAGGAGAAGTACTGATTGTGAGCTCACTACCGCGCACTTGGCAGTCATCACGCGTCTTCAGGTGCGTTACAAACAAAAAACGATGAACATCTTTCGACGTTCACCATCGTCTCCCTTCTCCCGCTACCTGTTGCGACGATGAGGCCGGTGACAGGAATTTAAACCTGGGTTCCGCCACCTTTACTGTCTGTAGATGCAACTTGTCTCCGAGCTATTCTCCCATTCTTCCGTTTGTCATACCGAGGAACGTGGACGAGCCGCCAAAGATGCCGCCAAAGAGGATCCCCCGTCGAAAGATCCACCGCCGTTTGACGGTCGCCGGAAAAAGGTCACTTCATCACGTAACCACCTTTATCTCGTCTTTCCAAAAGATGCGCACTGCGCGATTAAAATGCACCGAGAATCTTGGCCTCGTACTCCTTTCAAGCGACGAAGGTGAGAGAGTGAATCGCGCGTGTGTATCGCAAAAGATGTTGAGGATAGGGA